TGTATGAAACAAAGTCAAAGCAGTTCAACTGAAAAAAAAAAAATCTGTACTAAAGCTGGAGCAGCCCTGGCCGGTTTGGCTCAGCGGTTAGAGCGACGGCCTGTGGACCAGAGAGTCCCGGGTTCGGTTTCCGCTAGGGGCACATACCAAAATAAAATAAAATAAATAAAGCTGGAGCTGCAATTCAAGAAACAAAGTATGCAGTTCTATTCTAACCAAGATAATGACCTGCCAATCAACAACAATCAAAAGCAATATAAAATTTTCTCAAGAGAAAAAAAAAATTAATTGAGAAAGTATTCAGATAAACCTACAAAATGGCAGGAAAAGAGTAACAGAGGAGCAAAAACAGAGAAGATAAAGAAATAAAATGATTGAGCCAAAATCAACAGCGTCAATAATTACATTAAGTGTTAATGGAAAAAGATTCCAATTGAAAGGGAGAGTGACAAAATTATGTTTAACAGCGAGACAAAATTACATGCTGTCCAAAAGAGATAAAATTTAAATGTGAAGTCCCAGAGAGGTTGAAAATATGTGGCTAGAAAAAGATGCATAATGCAAAGAGTAAGCAGAAGAAGGTTAAAGTAGATATATATTTTTTTCTTTATTGATTTTGAGAGAGAGTAAAGGAGAAGGAGAAAGAGACAGAAACAGTGATGAGAAAGAGCACTGACTGGCCATCTCCTGCATGCCCCCCACTGGGGATTGGGCCCACAACCTAGGCATGCACCCTGACCAGGAATGGGACCAGCAACTTCTTGGCGCATGGGTCAATGCTCAACCACTGAGCCACACTTGCTGGGCAGGTATATGTACTTTTTTTTTTTTTTTTTTTTTTATCCTCACCCGAGGACATTTTTCCATTTTTTGTACAGACAGAGTGGGAGGGAGAGAGAGGAAGAGAGAGGGAAACATCGATGTGAAAGGGACACATCGAGTGGCTGCCACCCGCACGACCAACCAGGGCCGGGGACAAACTGCAACCGAGGTACATGCCCTTAGCGGGAACCGAACCTGGGTCTCTCCGGACCGCAGGCAGACGCTCCAACGGCTGAGCCAAACCGGCCAGGGCAGGTATATGTACTTTTAAATATGTTTTTGCTGATTTTAAAGAGAGAGGAAGGGCGAGAAAGAAACATCTATAAAAGAGAAACTGGGGATTGAGCCCGAAACCTGGGAATATACCCTGACCAGGAATTAAACCTGTGACCCCTTGGTGCACAGGATGATGCTCAACCAACTAAGCCACACCGGCCAAGGCAAATTAGGTATATTAGCAGATAAAACAGATTTAGGACAAAAATAACAACCAGAGACATAGAGGGATCTTGCATAGTGATAAAAGGACCAATTCATCAAGACATAATAATAAAAGTATACATGTTAATTGAGCTTCAAGAAACATAAAACAAAAATTGACAATATAAAAGGGATGAATAAACAGCCAATTCCAAAAATCTTAGCCGGGGATTTTAATTTCTTTATTCCAGCAACTGATGAAATAACTAGACAAAAATAAAGTCAGTATAGACACAGAAGACATGAACAACCCTATTAATCACCTTGACTTAATTGATAAATCAACCACAAGCCGTAAAAAAAAAAAAAATGTGCTAAGCCATGCTAGAATAATCTACTAATCAAATTTTTTTAAATCACAAGCATAGCTATTATATACCAAACACCTACTATGTATAAAAATAACAAATTATCTAACTCTTAAAAAAAACCTTAGAAGATAGGTATTATTATCCCATTTATTGTGACCCTAAAGAGGTTCAAGAGATTCACCCAAAGTTATATGGTCATTAATAGAAGAAAAATAATTTAAACCCAGGTCTGTCCTTTGAAAGCACCATTCTAATTCCCAAATGTTGTCATATAACCTTTTTTGCAAAATAATTAAGATACTGCCCTGGCCAGTTTGGCTCAGCGGTTAGAGCGTGAGCCTGCGGTCCAGAGAGACTGGGGTTGGGTTCCCGCTAAGGGCATGTATCTTGGTTGCAGTTTGTCCCTGGCCCTGGTTGGGTTGTGCAGGTGGCAGCCACTCGATGTGTACCTTTCATATCGATTTCTCTCTCTCCCTCTCTCTCTCTCCCTTCCGCTCTAACTGAACAAAAAATGATAAAATGTCCACAGGTGAAGATAGAAAAAAAAAAAATTAAGATACCTAGAAATAAACTTAACCAAATAAATAAAGGACCTATTCTCAGAAAACTACAGGTCATTGAAAAAAAGAAATAAAGAAAGATATAAAAAAGTGAAAGCACATACCTTGTTCATGGATTAGAAGAATTAACATCATTAAAATGTCCATATTACCCAAAGTAATCTATAGATTCAATGCAATCCCCATCAAAATACCAACGACATTCTTCTCAGAACTAGAACAAATTCATAAGTTCATATGGAACCTAAAATGACCTCGAATAGCCACACAAATCTTGAAAAAGAAGAACAAAGTTGGAGGGATCACATTACCAGATTTCAGGTTATACTACAAAGCCACAGTACTCAAAACAACTTGGTACTGGCACAAGAACAGGCAGATAGATCAATGGAACAGAACAGAGAACCAAGAAATGGACCCAAGCCAATATGCTCAATATTTGACAAAGGGGCAAGAGCATACAGTGGAGTAAAGATAGCCTCTTTAATAAATGGTGTTGGGAAAATTGGACAGCTCCATGCAAAAAAAATTAAACTAGACCATCAACTTACACCATACACAAGAATAAACTCAAAATAGTTAAAAGACTTTAATGTGACTCATGAATCCATAAAAATCCTAGAAGAAACTGTAGGCAACAAAATTTCAGACATCATATGCAGCAGAATTTTCACTGATACATCACCTAAGGCAACAGAAACAAAGGAAAAAATGAACACATGGGACTACATCAAACTCAAAAGTTTCTGCACAGCAAAAGAAACAACCATCAAAATGGAAAGGCAACCCACTCTATGGGAGAGCATAACTGCCAATGATACATCAGATAAGGGGTTAATTTCCAGTACATATAGAGTACTCATACAACTCAACAAAAGGAAGACAAAGAACCCAATTAAAAAATGGGCAGAGGAACTCAATAGACACCTCTCCAAACAGGACATACAAATGGCTAAGAGACATATGAAGAAATGCTCAACATCACTAATCATTAGAGAGATGCAAATTAAAACAACAATGAGGTATCACCTCACACCTGTCAGAATGGCAGCCATCAACAAATCATCAAACAACAAGTGTTGGCGAGGGTGTGGAGAAAAGGGGACTCTAGTACACTGCTGGTGGGAATGCAGACTGGTGCAGCCACTATGAAAAACACTATGGTGTTACCTCAAATAATTAAAAATTGAACTTCCATTTGACCCAGGTATCCCACTTCTAGGAATATAACCTAAGAAGCCTAAAACACCAATCAGAAAGAATATATGTACCCCCATGTTCATAGCAGCACTATTAAACAGCCCAAATGTCCATCAGTTGACAAATGGATAAAAAAGCAGTGGTACATATACACAATGGAGTATTATGCAGCTGTAAGAAAGAAAGATCTCTTATCCTCTGAGACAACATGGAGAGACCTGGAGAGTATTATCCTAAGCGAAACAAGCTAAGCAGAGAAAGACAAATATCACATGATCTCATTTATTTGTGGAATATAATGAACATAACAGTCTAAGAAACGGGGTAGTCCCAGAGACGTGGAAGTGGGGTACAGAATGACAATCCCCAGAAGAGGGATAAACCACAGAACTTATATGCATGTATGCATGTATGCATGAACAATGGACATGGACAACAAAACTGGGGGCAGAGTGGGGAGGGAGAAGGAGGGGGTATCAGTAGGGGGAAAAGAAGAAACATCTATAACAAAAATTAATTAATTAATTAATTAAAATAAATAAATAAAATAATTTTATAAATAAATAAATATAAAAAAGATTTTGTTTCACCCTGGCCAGTTCAGCTCAGCAGTTAGAACATAGGCCGTGGACCAGAGAGATACGGGTTTGGTTTCCACTAAGGGCACGTACCTCGGTTGTAGTTTGTCCCAGGCCCCAATTGGGGTCGTGTGGGTGGCAACCAGTTGATGTGCCTCTCTCACATCTATGTTTCTCTTTCTTCCTCCCCCTCTCCCTCCCACTCTAGCTGAAGATAAATGCAAAAATGTCCTCGGGTAAGGATAAAAAAAGAAAAAAGATTTTGTTTCATTTACAATTATTATAGTTATAAAAGAAATCTTTAGGAACTTATGGAATACTAAACAATTTTTCAGGCAGCAGGATTACCGGAAATTCCACTGACTGAGGCCATAAATTCCTACCAGAGTTGAAGTATAAAGTAATATGACTGTGACATATCGTTAAGACAGTAAGAATCTTTTTTAAAATCTCTAGGAAATAGCCATTAACATTTGTTAACCCAATAAACAGCCAAGAATGGGATCAAATGGTTTTACATTCAATAAAAAATATCTCAAACACTTCAATCATATCTTAAGAAATTGTTTCTAAAATAAGTCAGGAGTCAGACAGTAAATAGGTACACTAAAAATAAAGTATATTTACAAAATAAAGATAACTCAATCCTTAAACTATTCAAAGGAATATAGATAATTACAATAATTTATTAGAAAAAGATGTGTCTCTGATTAAATACCATTCTGAAAATAAGCAATATTGACAGGGAATAATTAAAGAAAAGAAAAATTATTATTATACTCCTTCTAAAACATCTGTGCAAAAAAATAGATATATCCAAAATCTATTAAATAACTATTAAATAACTAGAATATACCCTATCAAGAAGCTTAGTGGAAAAAATAGTTCACATCTCAAACATACAGGAAAAGAATTAAACTTGGACATGGAAAGCACACTTCCAAAGCATAAAAGAAAGCCATTCACTAGTGTAACAACTCAATGAAGCCATTCTACATTTTGCCAAAGCACAGACTATTAAAATATTAATAACTGCACTGAGTCAATAAAATGTTACATTAAAATTAAAAACCAGCACAAAAAGATTCTATGAAAGTAAATAAAATTTCTACCTTAGGCCATTTGGGATTGAGAAGTCGAGCTTTGATTGCATCGTCCAGGGCCTTGTCATACTGCTGGATTTTCGTATATGCTGCAGATCTATTGCTGTACAAGATGCAGTTTTGAGGATCAACAGCCAGAGCTTCGTTGTATAGTACAATAGCTGTGTGGAAATCTCCATCATGACAGGCCTGATTACTCTGACGAACTTTCTCAACAAATTCAGCTTTGCTCAGCACTGGACCATCAGGACTTCTCTGGCCAATAGTCTTTGCACCAAAGAGAGGAATCTACAAACAAAGAAACTTTGTGAGAAAAAGTTCTGATAATCCAGAGGGGTTTCTTGTCTTGACTCAAGAGAACATGAATATTCTTCATGGTCTAATTTATATTATAGTTAACTTTTGTGCTCTGAAAGACAATAAACTTTCTAAGAAGCAGCCAACATAGTGCCTTGAGTGTATGTGTGTGTGTGTATAAACTTATATATTTATACTTGCATATGTATATATTTTTTGAGAGAATGAATGAGTACAAAATAGTACTCAAGCTTTTCCTTGGCAATTTAAAGTTATACTAAGAAAAAGATCAAAATACAAACCTATAATAATATGATCTCAACTACGTTAAGATGGTTGCATTTAAGAAAATGAAAGAGACTTCCGGTCAAGATGACGGCGTAGGTAAACGTAGTATCGCGGTCTCCCACAACCACATCAAAATTACAACTAAACTACAGAACAACCATCATTTAAAACCACCTGAAATCAAGCTGAATGGAAGTCCTACAACTACGAAATTAAAGAAGAAGCCACATAGAAACTGGTAGAAGGGGCAGAGGCATGACGGGTTGGTCCCACACCCACGTGTGGCAGATAAAAATTAGAAGGATACCTCAGCTGGGAAGGTCCTCCCTGAGGACTGAGGGGTCCCTGTCCTGCTCAGGGTTCCAGTGCCAGGAAGAGAATCCCCATAACTTCTGGCTCTAAAAATGAGCGGGAACTGAGGCTCAGGGAGGCTGAGGCGGCTGGAGCCCCATGCAGCTCCTCTTAAAGGGCCCGCGCAGGGACTTACTTGGACTTGCTCCCTCTAAACTCAGAGGGAAAGCAGCTTGAGGAGCGCCAGAGACATACAGGGAAGAACTAAGCTGTTTGGCATTGGAGCGAGGGCTGGAAAGGGGGCCTTCTCCTGGACAGACGTGCTGTCAGAGGCCTTTGTTCCTTCGGTGAGCCCTTCTCTGGGGCAGCAGACAGCCGCCATATCTAGGAATACCTGGCTCACACAGTTTGCCCCACACTGGTAATTCCCTGAGGCCTTGCACCACCCAACTTTCAGGCCCACCCAAGTGTTGCCAGTTGCTTTACCATAAGATTGGCCTGTCTTGGATCCTGCTTCAGGTTTTTCTAAATTCTTTCAAACAAGCAGCATCTGGTCTCAGATAGCCCCATACCTCTCATTAAATAATACATAAAAACAAACACAGGGAGGCAGCCAAAATGAGGAGATAAAGAAACAGGTCCCAAATGAAAGAAGAGAACAAAACTCCAGGAAAACAACTAAGCGAAATGGAGATAAGCAATCTAATGATGCTGATTTCAAAACACTGCTTATAATACTCAATGAACTTAGTGAGAACCTCAGCAAACTTAGTGAGGGCCTCAAGAGCATAAAAAAGGAGCAGTCAGAAATAAAGGATGCACAGTCAGAAATGGAGGCGGCACTCATTGAAATAAAGAATAATTTACACAGATTCAGTAGTAGAGTAGGTAAAGCCAAGAAGCAAACCATCGATTTGGAATATAAGGAAGCAAAAAACACCCAATCAGAACAGCAAAAAACAAAAAAGAATCCAAAAAAAATGAGGATAATGTAAGGAGCCTCTGGGACAACTTCAAGCGTGCCAGCATTCGCATCTTGGGGGTGCCAGAAGAAGAAGAGAGAAAACAAGAAATCGAAAACCTAGTTGAAACAATAATGGCAGAAATTTTCCCTAATTTGGTGAAGGAAATAGACATACAAGTCCGCGAAGCACAGAGAGTCCCAAACAAGATGAACCCCAAGAGGCCCACACCAAGACACATCATCAAAATGCAAAAGAGAGAATCTTAAAAGCAGCAAGAGAAAAGCAGTTAGTTACCTACAAGGAAGTTCCCATAAGACTGTCAGCTGATTTCTCAAAAGAAACTTTGCAGGCCAGAAGAGAGTTGCAAAAAGTATTCAGAGTGATGAAAAGCAAGAACCTACAACCAAGATTACTCTATGCTGCAAACCTGTCGTTTAGAATCGATGGCCATATAAAGAGTTTCCCAGACAAGGAAAAGCTAAAGGAGTTCATCACCACCAAACCATTATTATATGAAATGTTGAAGGGTCTTCTTGAAGAATAAGATAAAAAATATAAACAAACAAAATGGCAATGAATACATATCTATCGACAATTGAATCTACAAACAAAATGAACAAGCAGAACAGAAACATTCTCATAGATACAGAGAACATTTTGTTGATTGCCAGATGGGAGGGGGATTGGGGGAATGGGTGAAAAAGATGAAGGAATTAAGAAGTACAAAATGGCTGCTAGACTGACAAACCTTAAAGGGAAGGGGGTTTAGGGGTGGGAAGAAATAAACCAAAGAATTTATATGTATATATGTATAACCAATGGGAGCAGACAACAGTGTGGGGAAAGGCAGGAGGGGGGGCGGGAGAGGGGAGGGGGAGGTCAATGGGGGAAAAATGAGGAACATCTGTACTACATTCAACAATAAAAATAAGTTTTAAAAAAATGAAAGAAACAAAATAAAAATATTAACTATGCTAAATTATCTTTGAATATAAGATTATGGATTTTTATTTTCTTAAATTTTTTTCTTATCCAAATATTAGAAAATGAACATATGTTAGTTTTAAAAAAATTTTAAATCTTAATGTACCAATGAATCATTTTAGCCTGGCAAATTAGGTAACTGTAATTTGGCTACTACCATAGAATTTCTAAGACAAACACCAGTTTTTGAAGATCACCAAAAAGAAAAAAAAAATCTGCTAGAAATTATATCTTGGCAATTTAAGACCTGATTTTGATGTTGATTTTTCCAACTCCCTAAGTTTTCTGTGACTTTATAGCAGTGACCTTAAAACCAAAGGGAGTTACTCAGTCAAATGTTATTCATTTTTAAAACATGCAAATTATGAACTGCATTAGAGTCCCAAAGGAAGTAATTTAAGACAGTAGTATCAAGAGAAACAGTTTGCAAATCTAAGCAGCCATACCCTAACTGAAATTAAAACAAAAAGTGTAATTTTCTTTCCCATGTCTTCCTTTAAAACTAAGTCCTTCAATTCAAAAGAGAACAGATCTAATATGTAAAACACCAAACTGTACAAAAAGTAATAAGACTCCTCACAGAGACATTTGCATTAAAGAGAACAAATTCCACAGAGAGGGGAAAGAAAGGCAGACCTAATCTTCCACATATGCAACCACTATTTTTCCTCTGCTTATAGGGATATCATGTCCTAGATTTCCATGACAATTTGAAACATTAAAATATCCTAGAGCCCTGGCTGGTTTAGCTCAGCGGTTAGAGCATCAGCCTGCAGTCCTGAGAGACCCGGGTTCGGTTCCCACTAAGGGCACGTACCTCGGTTTTAGTTTGTCCCTGGCCTGGTTGGGTCATGTGGGTGGCAACCACTCGATGTGTCCCTTTCACGTCAATGTTTCTCTCTCCCCCTCCCACTCTATATGAACAAAAAATGTCCTCGGGTGAGGATAAAAAAAAAATCCTAGAAACTTCATGCCGTGGCTGGCCCTCTTGGTTTCTCTTGGTTCCTCTTATGCTCTTGGGACTCTTATTGCTCAGGGGGCACTCTCCTGTATTTGCCCAATCACAATGGACTAATGGACTGCTGCTAGCCTGATGCTGAACTGGACCCCATTCCAACATGGAAAGAAAACTCTGGACACTGGCTTTGCTTCTAGCTCTACTGAAACCCAGCTACACTTCTTCTATTATTGGACTAAGGGAAATGGGACTCTGGAAATGCAGAAATGTAATTCCATGCAAATAAGAACCACTCATTCTCCCCTTTGAGTATCAGAAAAATATCAGAGATATCATAAGGACCCCACTCCCAGCACTAGTGGGAAAGAGGACACCCCAGTTTCCCCAATAATACTAGGATTCTAACTCAAATTAATTGAAAATGTATGTTCACACAACAATTTGTACACAAATGTTCATAGCAGCATTATTTATAGTAGCCAAAAAGTGGACACAACCCAAATGTCCATGAACTGATAAATAAACAAAATGTGGCATAGTCATGCAATGGAAACATGAAAAGAAATTAAGTACTGGCAAACATTAGAACATAAATGAACCTTTAAAACACTGTGTAAAGTAAAAGAAGCCAGACATCAAAGGCCACACATTGTATGATTCCATGTAAATGCCCATAATAGGCAAACTCCTTGGGACAGAAAGCAAATTAGTGGTCACCAGGGGCCAGAGTTAGAGGGAAATAGGAAGTGTCACCTAACAAGTACTAGATTTATTTTGAGGGTAATGGAAATGTTGTGGAATTAGATAGTAATGATGGCTATGAATAAAGTAAAAAGCATTGAATGGTGTAAATTTTATGATGTATTAAGTATATCTCAATTTTTTTAAAGGTAAACTAAATATTTGTTCAAACAAATAAAAACTGAGGGAATTCATCAACAGCAGGCCTGTAATAAAAGAAATACTGAGGGAAAACTATCTTAGAAACATGGAAATGTTGTAAGGAATAATACTGGAAAAGGTAAATATCTGTGTGACTATAAAAAAACATTAGCTATACAAAATAATAACTGTAATGTCTCTTGAAATTTAAGATATATACAACACAAAATACAAGAGATTATAAATACAGTGATACCTCGGTTCTCGAACATAATTCGTTCCAGGAGGACGGTCGAGAACCAAATTGTTCGAGAACCGAAGCAATGAAACCCAATAGGAAATAATGGAAACTGGATTAATTCGTTCCAAGCCCCAGAAAATGCCTATTTACTGGCCTAATTGTATATAATATGTAGAAAAACATAAGTCTCAACAAGAAATAAAAGTGTACAGTATGTCTAAGGGTTAAATTCAGTGTAAAGCGTGACTCTCTCCACAAAGCGTGACTCTCTCTCTGCACTCACACTGATGACGCAAGCAAGGCGCGCTGGGCCGAATGAACGCCATTCGGCTCAACTCGGCTCATCTCGGAAGTTCGAGTTCCAAATATCTGTTCGGATTCC